CAGGAGGTGCGCCAGAATAACTGTGAGGCTTCACAAGCTTCAGTTCAGTATCTCTTATACCTGAGATTAAGTCATGTCCCCAAACAATGTCCATGATTTCTATGCCTTTTGAAGGAGATTGGCAGCCTTGCCTTTGTATTTGGATATGTTATCCCCAGGCTTCCTGCTACTCTCAGCTTTAATCGTTGATCTATATTTTAAGTCAAGCAGTTAGCTGCACAGTCCCGATGATATGTGAATGGGGCTTTTCTTGTTTAGTTTGCTGATACAGTTCCATAAAGCAAGAGGCTGGGCCTGGTTTTCTCCACACATCAATGCAATAGTTGATCCAGTGTTTCTTTTGCGCCACTCATAGATTGTTGTTGTTGGTGGCGGTGGTCAGGTTTTCAGCGATGGAGTCTTGCTCCCTGTCACCCAGGGTGGAGTGCAGTGGCACCATCTTGGCAGTGCAACCTCAGCCTCCCAGATTGAAGTGATTCTCCTGCCTCAGCATCTTGAGTAGCTGGTACCACAGGTACACTGGCACATCTGGCTAATTTTTGTATTTTTAGTAGAGATGGGGTTTCCCCATATTGTGAATTCATCTTGAACTCATGACCTCAAATGATTCACCTGCCTTGGCCTCCCGAATCACGAATTCTTTTAAAAGCAAGGTTGTTAGAGATACGTCCATCAGTTGAACGTTTTAATGCTCATGGTACCTGATGATATAAGTCAGTATTGCAGCAACACTCTAGAAAATTCATTAGAGGCTAATTTTTGGAGATTTTGGGGGAAATTTTTATTTTCTTTGCATAGACTGAGGCAGGGAATGTGGCATTACAGATCTACCCACAGAGGAAATTTTGGCCTGTAGGACTGGAAAGCAAGTCATCTACTTCTCCACCAGACTTAATCTAGATACACCTAGAAGAATATTCATGTCCAGAATCCATGTTCTTGCCTGAGAATAGTTGGGTCCTTGTGCTATATTTCTTGGACAGTGATTTGGTCATATGTGAAGTGTGAATTGCTTAATGTGACCTGCTTCTCACTCTGGATATGTTTACAGAAAATGAAAGTGATCATGAAGAAGAGGAAGAAAAAGGACCAGTGTCTCCCAGGTAATGCTGTGGAATTGTGAGCTGTGAATTTAGTAGTGACACCTGGAGATTATGGGTTAGGAAACGAGGCGATGAATAGAACGATTTCTTTCATTCACTCCAGCTACAAATTGTCCTTATTAACAATGTTGTGCATTATTTGTGGCACTTGTGGTTTAATTTCATAGTCCTCTCCAAGATAAGTACTTTGCAATCAGATGAGCCAGGTAGATAGCCAAAGAGGGATATCTTGTTCATCTTTTCAAAAACCAGATCACCAGATTCCTGGAGGTTTTTTTTTTTTTTGAGACAGAGTCTCGCTCTGTCACCAGGCTGGAGTGCAGTGGCCGAATCTCAGCTCAATGCAAGCTCTGCCTCCTGGGTTCACACCATTCTCCTACCTCAGCCTCCCAAGTAGCTGGAACTACAGGCGCCCGCCACCTCTCCCAGCCCCTGATTCTTTATATTTTAGTAGAGACCAGGTTTCATGTTAGCCAGAATGGTCTCGATCTCCTGACCTCATGATCAACCCGCCTCGGCCTCTCAAAGTGCTGGGATTGGGCTTGAGGCACCACTTCTTATTGATTTTTTGAAGGATTTTTGTGTCTCTGTCAGTTCTGCTCTGATCTTGAATTATTTCTTGCCTTGTGCTAGCTTTTGAATTTGTTTGCTCTTGCTTCTCTAGTTGTTTTAATTGTGATTTTAGGGTGTTGATTTTAGATCTTTCCTTTCTCTTGTGGGCATTTAATGCTAGAAATTTCCCTCTCCATACTGCTTTGAATGTGTCCAGAGATTCCTGGTATAGCGTGTAATTGTTCTCAATGGTTTCAAAAGAACATCTTTATTTCTGCCTTCATTTTCATTATTTGCAGTAGTCGTTCAGGAGCAGCAGGTTGTTCCAGTTTCCATGCGGTTATTCCAGTTTGGGTAGGTTTCTTAATCCTGAGCTCTAATTTGATTGCACTGTGTTCTGAGGACAGTTTATGTGATTTCTGTTGTTTTACATTTGCTGAGGAGTGCTTGACTTCCAACTATGTGGTCAATTTTGGAATAAGTGTGATGCGATGCTGAGAAGAATGTATATTCCGTTGATTTTGGGTGGAGTTCTGCCTTGGTGTTCTATTAGGTCTGCTTGGTTGCAGGCTGAGTTTGCGTTCTGGATATCCTTGTTAGCATTCTGTCTCATTGATCATATAATATTGACAGTGGGGTGTTAAAGTGTCCCATTCTTGTTGTCTGGGAGTCTAAGTGTCTTTTTAGGTCTCTCAGGAGTTGCTTTATGAATCTAGGTGCTCCTGTATTGGGTGCATATATCTTTAAGATGGTTAGCTCTTCTTGTCGAATCGATCCTTTACCATTATATAATGAGTCTTCTTATCCTCCTTTGGATCTTTGATGGTTTTAAAAGTCTGTTTGTCAGGGGCTAGGATTGTAACCCCTGCTTTTTGCTTTCCTATTTTCTTGGTAAATTGTTCCTCCATCCCTTCATTTGAGCCTATGTGTGTCTGCACGTGGGAGTGCATCTCCTAGACACTGCACACTGAGTGGGTCTGCTCTTTATCCAATTTTTTCCAGTCACCAGCATGTCTTTTTGGGGCATTTAGCCGGTGACATTGAAGGTGAATATTTTCATGTGTGAATTTGATCCTGTCATTAAGATGTTAGCTGGTTATTTTTAGAGTATTAGTTAATTACAGTTTCTTCCTAGCATCGAGTGGTCTTTACAATTTGACATGTTTTTGCAGTGGCTGCAGTACTGGTTCTTCCTTTCCGTGTTTAGTGCTTCCTTCAGGGGCTCTTGTAAGGTAGGCCTGGTGGTGACAAAATCTCTCAGCATTTGATTGTGTGTGAAGGATTTGATTTCTCTTTCACTTATGAGCTTAGGTTAGGTGGATATGAGATTCTGGGTTGAAATTACTTTTTCTTTAAGAATGTTAAGTATTGGCCCCCCACTCTCTTCTGGCTTGTAGAGTTTGTACAGACAGATGTGCTGTTAATCTGATGGGCTCCCCTTTGTGGGTAACTTGACCTTTCTCACTGGCTGCACCTTTACCATTTTTCCTTCATTTCACCTTGGTAAATCTGACAAATTATGTATCTTGGGGTTACTCTTCTCAGGAGTATCTTTATGGTGTTCTCAAGAAGTATTCCTGAATTTGAATGTGGCCTGCCTTGCTAGGTTAGGGAAGTTCTCGGGTAATATCCTGAAGAGTGTTTTCCCGGCTTGGTTCCATTCTCCCCATCACTTTCAGTGCACCAATCAAATGCTAGATTGTTCTTTTCACATAGTCCATATTTCTTAGCAGCTTTGTTTGTTTCTTTACTCTTTTTTTCTCTAAAGTTTTCTTCTCACTTCATTTTGTTAATTTTATCTTCAATCACAGTACCCTTCTTCCACTTGATCGAATCAGCTGACTTATTGCATGTCATATAGTTCTCATGCCATAGTTTTCAAACTCCATCAGGTCATTTAAGGTCTTCTCTACACTGTTTATTGTAGTTAGCCATTCATCTAATCTTTTTTCAAGGTTTGTAGCTTCCTTGCGATGTTTTAGCATCCTCCTTTAACTCGGAGAAGTTTGTGTACAACTTTCTAGAAGCCTACTTGATCATCTCATCCAAAGTCATTCCTCTGCCCTTTTTTGTTCCGTTGCTGGCGAGGATCTCTACAGTCATGGGAGGAGAAGAGAGCGCTGTAGTTTTAAAATTTACTACAGCTTTTCTGCTCCGGTTCTCCCACCTCTTTGTGGTTTTATCTCCTTTAGTCTTTGATGCTGGTGACCTATAGATGGGGTTTAGATGGATGTCCTCTTTGTTGAAGTGGATGCTATTCCTTTCTGTTTGTTAGTTTTCTTGTTAACGGTGGGGTCCACCTCAGCTGCAGGTCTGGTGGAGTTTGCTGGAGTCCCACTCCAGACCCTCAGAGCAGGGATTTCTTGGTGTCGCCTGTTCTGTCCCCTGTGCCAAATCCAGGAGAGAATGTACATATGCTTTCTGCTTATTTTTGTAGTATGTTTCCAAGTATTTGTGAAAAACTGAAAAAATAAGCATATTTTATCAAAATATTGGGAAAATGAGATATCACTTTGAATCTGTCTGCACTGCCGCAAGAGCTCTATTCATGAATGCCTGCATGGAAGATTCAGCATTTTATGCAATAGTTGAAATCCTGTGTTAGTCTCTGTGCTGCAAGTCATGAGGGTAGTTTACAGGAAGTCAGGGTGCCCTGCATTGGTCTTCTGTAGAAGTGTACTGAGCATGTGCTGCCCATTTTGGTCAATCCCCAGGGCAGTCACCCTGTGCCCTGCATTTAGAAGGATAGTGGGAGATATATTTCAGAAGGCCTGAAGGCTGGTCATGATAGAGATTCCCTGGTTTTTGTCCCAGAAACTAAGGGTAAAATGTCCCTTTTCTGGTAGATCGTTATCCCAATATCATTTGTCCCAAGTTTGTGCAAATGGTTATGCCATATTTTTCCAATCCATTTAAAGCAAATGCCCTCAAGTGATTTCTAGGAGAAAAACTGCAATATTCAGCCCTGTCTCATCAAATACTCAGATTGTTCATGGTTGTGAGGATTTTAGACACTGAAATTAGAGTGAGAAAGGAAATCTGGAAACCCTTGAGTCAAAATCATAGTTCTCTGAATTTGTCACATCTGCCCAGGTCCAATGTCTTGAGAGTAGAATCAGAGCGCCACAGGCATGGCCTGAGACTAGGGAGAGAGCCATGCTCACTGACCCATCCCATGTCTGGGCTTCCAGGTGGAACTAGAGTTTCATTGAACCTACATGTACCTATAGGTCCTCACTGCAGCAGTGACATCTCTCAGCTCAGTAACGGCCACTTGGAACAGGAATATGATCTCTATACGGAAGACTCAGTGGATCCTTATCAGCTTCAGAGAAAGGTACTCACCACCCACGCCAAGAGAAAAGCCAACGTGTTGTTCCTCCAATGAGTAAAGGGAACTTCCCTGGGAATGGCATGAATCGGGAAGCTCAAGATAACTGTAAGGAGTCGAATAATATCTATCCAGTGAGTCCTGCAAGACTTCAGGCTCTACTACCTCCAGCAGCTCTCTGCTGAGCCTGGAAAAGTAGAAAAAGTAAAGAATAAGTCAGGAGAAATCAGACACAACAGAGCCCCAACTAGATTTCATGGGTAGCACAAGGAAGTGGTCAAGAAAGAAAAATGATAGATCCATGAATGAGGTAACAAATTATTGCCTTCATGTTGGGACAGAACAGGGCCAAATGGAAAAGGATGAAAGAGAAAGACAGACAGAGAACAGAGGCAGAGACAGAGACAGAGAGAGACAGAGAGTGCTTGGTGAGTTGTCCAGGTGACACACTGATGAGGGAGTAACAGGACACTCTGAGTTAGTGCCCTCAGGACACACAGCATACAGTGATCATGAAAAGGCTGTGATCAATAATTTTCCATCAAATGTGCTCAAGTTTCCATGTAGTCACCATGAGAATAGAGCTTTTGAAGTATGGTCCACCTACGGTAGGTTAGTAAATGATAAGGGGAGGAAGAAATGGGAACCTAAATATGTAATGCAATGAAAACCAACAGCAATGTTAGTAGGAATAATTCAGGCTTGGTTGACAAGATGTAATCAATAATGTCGGCCCGCTCTGTTTTCCCTGAACCAGGAGTCTCCAGGTGTCAACACAGAATTAGCTGTTGTCAATTGCTCAGAGTTACCTGGGGCATGGTGGGCCTTGGTCTTCTTCCTCTTCTTCCTTTGTAATTCCTGCAATAAAATCAGACAGGGACAGGCAAAATAAACCAATTCACCTACACCCATGACACTCCACTGTCTAATCCCCACACAGGGACCACAGGCTCCTCAGCATGAGAACAGGATAATGTGAGAGATACACTGCAGGAGACCTCAGAGCCAGTCATGATAGAGATTCTTTGATTTACATCTCAGAAGCACGGGTCAAATGTCCCTATTCTGGTAGACAGTTATCCCAAAATCATTTATCCCAAGTTTGTGCAAACAGTTATGCCTTATTGTTCCCATCAATTCAAAGAAAATGCCCCAGATGATTTCTAGGAGGAAAACTGCTGTATTCAGCCCTGTCTCATCAAATTCCCAACTTGTTCATGGTCGCAAGACACTGAAATTAGAATAAAGGAGGAAATCTACAAA